TCTCCACCACCCATGAGAAACAGAAACCAGAAAATTCCCAGGAACAGGTCAACTCTGAGGCACAGAGAACCCTGCGCCATGGAGAATTCCAAACCCACTTTTCCTTTTGGCATAAAGCTTCAAACCTTTTTTGTGTGTAGTTAAAATTACCAGCCCTTCCCTTATGTCTCCCCATATGCTGTGCTTAAGAGGTCTTTCCCACCCCCCCTTCAAAATCTTCTAAAAGTTTTGTTATTTTTGTTTGTGTGTGTTTAAGTCTTTGATTCATATGCAATTTATTTTCCCATAAGGCGAGAGAAGCCAGCTTTTACTTTGATTTTCCAAATGCTGCAGATCTCAGCACTGTTTACGGAACACAGTGGGCTCTCCATGGCTTATCAATTCGCTACACTCGTCTTACAAAGCTTGCATGTGTGTTTGGCGTTGTTTACGGGCTTTTTGGTCTGTTTTGATTTTCATCTATCTGTTCTTGGGCTTGGTATAAACAAGTATCTGAAAGCCAAGGGGTAGATGGGAAATACCCTCCAACACGTATGATGAGTTCTTTTTTTTTTTTTTTTTTTAAAGGAAGTGCTCTTGGTATTTCTTGGGTTTCCTGAGAATTCAGGATCCTCTAAGCTAGGTCCCACCCAACCACTGACTTCTGTAAATGCATGTGTTTGTTTAAAAAAAATGCATTTTCATTTCCTTACCATTGTGTGTTTGTGTGTAAAGCCATGTCATTGAGCATGCGTGGCCAGAGGACACACACGACACTTCTCCACCATATGGGACTCAGGGATCATAACAGGACAGCATGTCAGGCTGACGTGACCCCAGGAATAGTACCCCAGCACCAGGTGATGTTATCCTTGGACCAGGGCTACCCTGATTTGTATGGCAGAGACTGACTATACGCCTGGATGGTATCCATGGTGACTCATGCTAAGATCCTAGGATCATTCACCAGCCAATCTGAACTGCCCTCCTCCTCATGACACAAACTATCTGCCCAGAAGCTACATACAAGGAGACTTCTTTCAAACACAGGAAGACACCCCACCCCCTTGCCTCGTGTATCACTGTCCTAAGGGACAAGTGGCACCGTACCTACTGCCCAGCCCATTTGCCCTCTTCCGGTGTACTCAATAAACAATTATCCTTACCCGGGTCTTTAAAAGAAAAAAAAATTCGCATGTAATTGGAGGGAAAAGACAAAATTAGAATAGTGAGGGCGTTCATCCACAGCGGTGTGAATCGAATACACCAATAAGTGAAGCGGGCACGTCCAGAGCCATGGCAGTTAAAAAAAGCCACCTTTGTTCATATTGGAGATTCACAAATACCTAAATGTTTGGTGGCAATGTGTTAGCATCTCTTATGGATGGCGGGGGTACACACTGGGACAATGGGCTGCCTATCACCACCTGAAATCCACGGGCTACCTGAGACAGCGATTTTTACTTTTACAAATTCAACCCTGTGGGAACCATGGGAGTGCCAGGGTCTCTGGTCAAGCCTTGTGTATTTATTGGTTGCAGTGTTGATAATCTGAGTAGGGGTGGCAATGCTTTTAACCCTAGAACTTAGGTGGCAAGGGAAGCAGGCCTCTGTGAGTTTGAAGCCAGCTTGGTCTACACAGTGAGTTCCAGGCCAGCCAGTGGCACCCTGACTTAAAAAAAAAAAAAAAAAACCTTCTGGAAACTACATCTCCATCAGTATGGAAGAGTGAGTTATAGTATGCCCATGTAATGCAGGCCCTCACAATACTGAATAGAAGGATTTCCTCATACTCCTGTGAGAAGGTAGTTGAGAAAAATTACCTTAAATGTTACATTATGACAGATCTGTATCTCAGTGATGACAAAGAGTAAAGTTGTCGATTATCAGCCTCAGAGAATTGTTCCACAGAAAGAGTGATTTTACTGTATACAAACATGAATCCAAAAGCCATTGAGAGTGAGTGAGAGGTCTCGGTGGGTAAAGCCACTTGCCGCCAACCCTGACACCCGGAGTTTGACTCCTAGGAATTCTCCCTCTAACCTCCACATGGGTGCAGACGCATGCACGCCCACTCGCCCACCCAAATGTGTATACAGTGGAAACAAATGTGATAAAAATGTATTTTAAAAAAGCACTGTGGCACTATGTTGGGGGGGCAGTTTGCATAAGCAGCTATTAAAATATGCCTGCGTTCTGCATATACGTGTATGTGCATGGTATTTCTAGAAAGACGTACTCGGAATCAAGTGCGTGTTGGTGTCGGGAGGGAGACTTTATTTGTACTTTATACCAAGCGGAACTGTTTGAAAGGTTTAATTCCGAATTCGGTGTAGTTCGGATGACTTTTGTGAGGGGAGAATTTTAAGCTAAAATGAATTTCCAGTTTCTTAGACCACATACATGACCTGGCCGGAGAACAAGATGAGAAGACAAAATCCCTTAGCAGGCGTCGTGTAATTTGGGGGGGATATCAGTAAACTTTGGGGGTCTCTTCACACTATTAAGTATGCATGTTTGTTGACATGTGTCTCCCACAAAAGGGCTGTCTTCCTGTCTCTATGGTTCGAAGCATGGAAAGAAAGGAGAGTGGCCACTTTTAGGGTACCTCTGTGGGGGGCAGGTGCCCAGCTATGACTCCCTGACCCCTCCACTGAGATATTCTCTCCTGACCTTACCACCACCCATACTGGGTCAGAGAGAAATGGACTCTGCTACAGTTTCCATGGTAACAGAAGCATCTACCAGCTAGCTTTTCCCCCAGCCAGAGACTCTGGGGAATCTACATATACAGAGTGGAGTGCCGGGGAGGGGCATGATCTCCCCAGAAAGTCAGACAGGAGAGGAGAAAGAGATGGAGCTAGCTAGGAGGAAGAAAGGAGTTAGCTTGCCTGGAACACTCAGTGAGTAGAGCTGCCATTGAGAAACACAGGTTGCAGCCAGGCATTGGGCTGGGACTGGACCCTACATCCCCTAACGCCTGGAAGCCTCCTCTGTCTGGGGTCTGCTTCCACTCTGTATCTGCTAGCGGATGGTGGCTCACCATCTACACTCGCCCCATCTTGTGGATTAGGCAGTGGGGCTCAGAGGGGTTCAGAAATGTATGAGAGGAATGTCTAACTCCAAGACTATCGTGTACCATGTACATCGAGGGTCCCTGGAGAAGCCCAGAGAGTCCCCAGGGGCCAAGTGGTATGTGGCCCGTGCATATGTGGAGATTGGGAGAGAACGTGGTGGGGAAGTGGGAAGGTGCACTGGAGGTGGTGGGAAGCTGCTTGGGCCCACATGCTTAGGACAAGTGATTTCTGTCCTAAAAAGAATGCTTAAGTCATTATGTGGTTTGGCATAGTGGTCTCAACTAGATGGATTTATCCCCCTGGCCCCAGAGATATTCTATCATGTCCAGGACCAGCCCCTATGGCAGAGCCTTGACAACAATGATGCTGAGGTTGTTGAGGGATGACCTAACAGGACACTGGTGACCTTTCCTGTGGTGGCTCTGACTCCTATTTTTTTTAAATATTTATTTATTTATTTATTTATTTATTTATTTATTTATTATGCATACAATATTCTGTCTGTGTGTATGTCTGCAGGCCAGAAGAGGGCACCAGACCTCATTACAGATGGTTGTGAGCCACCATGTGGTTGCCGGGAATTGAACTCAGGACCTTTGGAAGAGCAGGCAATGCTCTTAACCACTGAGCCATCTCTCCAGCCCCGACTCCTATTTTCTTTGCCTTGAATGACTGCCCAGTCATGGAAGGACCAGCAGTGTAAAGGAGGAAAGCAAGAACCCCGAGGGCCAGGGTTCCCTGGTCAAATCCATTGTGTGGTTCTGGGCAAGTCGGCTTACTTCTCTGACCTTCAGTTGCCACATCTGTACCAAGTGAGGGTGGATGGTCTCCAAACTCCCTCCTCTCCCAGGCACCATAAAACTTAATGACAAGAATCTATACAGTGTCCTGTGCCTATGGGGAAGTGCTGTGTACAGGGCTCGGGCAAGCTCACCAAGCCAGAGATGACCAGTCTGAGGTCATCAATGTATATGAAAACTAACATCAACAGGAAGCTTGGCCTTAGCATGATCTGGATTCTGCATTCTACCCGATACTCCGTGTTCTTGTGTTGATAAACGCTCCATCTTTGTTGTTTTGTGTGAGCCATAGCCAAACCAAATTCCTCTCAGCCCCTCCCACCCAGTCCTGTTTAGGTACCTGCAGATCAATCTGCCACCGCTGGCTCTCTGAGCTGCCCTGATTGGCAAGGTCCTGCACCTTGGCTTTTCTCAGTGGGTGTCTCCTGGCAATCCCAGTGGGGTCGCTGGCTGTGGTGGGCCTTGGGCTGGTCTTCTGGCTAGAGATCTGGTTGGTGCTGTATGCCCTCCGTCGTCGGGAGACATCCAGACCTGGACAAGGGTAGTAAGAGGGGTTGTTATCAGGGTGGAGGGTAGTGGGGGGAAAGAAAGGGACTAACATGCCACCTTCCTGTTTGTAATGTCTCAAGTTCCCGTTTTCTTACAGCAATATGTGCACGTGTCTCACTTAGCATCCAAAGCCTTGCCAGGTCTGGTCCTGGTCTAACTTCTCATAACTGTCCCTTTTATCCTCTTCATCATGTATGTGTGTGCTCTCCTGTGTGTGTGCACGCACATGCATGCTTGTGGAGGCCAGAGATGAATGTGAGGTTTCTTTCTCTATTGCTATCTACCTTGTTTCTTTTTAAATTTGTGTGTGTATGTCTGTACAGTGTTCATGCATTCGTGTGTGTGTGTGGTGTATGTGGTGTGATATAGTGTGTGTGGGTGGGTAGTCGGGCACGTGTGTGTAGGTAGGACCCAAAGTTGATGTCAGGAATCTTCCCCAGTTGTTTTCCACTCAACTCATTTCAGATGGGTTCTGCGGAGCCAGCCTCTGGCCCTCTTGCTGGTGTGGTAAGGACTTGATTCACCGAGCTATTTCCCCGGCCTCAATCTTAGGATTTTTACTTTTATTCGCATTTATTTCATGTTGAATTTATTCAGCGCTATGGAATGTGTCATGCATCTGCCTGTCACCTTTGTGCAGGGGCCATGCTAATCTCCCCCACATCGTCCTAATTTTAGTCCATGTTCTGCCAAGGAGAGCAGGACGTCCCACTGACTGGAGCTTGCTGATAAGCTAGATTGACCAGCATGCCCCCGAATCCTCCTGCATCCTCTCAACAGTGGGCTTTACGCTAGGGATCCAGAATCACTTTCCCGTGCTTGCTCAACAAGCACTTTACCCAGCGAGCCATCTCCCCGGTCCCTCCTGTCCCCTTTAGGGATGCTGAGTGGTCAGAGGACACTGGAAGAGATGAGTAGCCAATGGCCAGCTACATAGCTTTCTATGTGCTACACCTCCATGGCTTTGCTTGAGTGCTTCTGCTCTAAGGCACTTCCTCTCCTTTTCCACGACTAAGAACCCACCCTCAGTCGCCTGTGATCTTAGGCAGATTCGCTCTTCTCTCTCTGGGGTTACCACAGTTGTTCCTCTGCTTTATCAGAGTTAAGGTCAATTGTGTCTTTGTGTCTAAAAGGGGGGATCTTGAGGGCAGGTGCCAGGTGAGAGCCATCCTACTGCCCCCTCTCCACAAATAAAAAAAAATAAAAAAAAAGTAAATGCTTTTTGAAAGTGGCATCAAACTCTACAAAGGCACATAGGTCTAGGCTGACCCCCTCCTTTAGTATCCAAGAACTTAGCCAGTTGCTGAGATTCTGTAGTCTTTGTCTCCCAGTCTGTTCCATGGGTATCAGCATGTCCACCCCCATAGCTGCTAACTGGTTTGTACACTGTGGGTATCATTGTATCCACACACACAGCTGCCACTGGTCCCAGAGATGGTTTTTATCAAATGTTTAACATGTAGTAACTGGTCAATATAAGGTAGCAATCATTACCATTTCCAAGGAAAAGGGAACATAGCAGCGCAGAAAGCAGAGGACCAACCGTGATGGGAGGGGGAGTCTCCATTGCATGGATGGGCATCTTGGGTCTGCCCTGGGTTGAAGATTTTGGCACAGTTCCCACTGCCCGGACCAAGTCCCTCATCCTGAGAGTGATAGAAAACAGAGCTGCTGGACTCCTGAGCTTGCAACGTGCCGTACTTTCGCCTTTTGTCCTGGAGAGGAAAGACGGGTGAGAGGAAAGTTAGGTTCAGCAAGGACCTCCGTGGGTAGCAAAGGGTGTGAGGGGGGCTCAGGTGGGTGTCCACCTCTGGGAACATAGCAGAATAAGGAAGGAGTGCCTGCTGGTTTGTTTGGAGAACTGAGGTGAATTTCTGGTCAAGAGATGGTGAACATGGAGCTGGATATTGTTGCTCACAGCTGTGATTCCAGCACTCAGGAACTGTGGTACAAGGCTAGCCTGAGCTACATAGCAAGTTCCAGGCTAGCCTGGGCTACAAAGTACAAGTCTGTCTCAACAACGCAACATTAAAACAAAAACGAGAGAGAGAGAGAAAATAGAATTTCTTCTTATATTATGGTAATATTTAATCATTGACTTTGTACACTGAAAAAATTAAAAATGTAATTCTAAATTTCATTCTTGTTTCCTAATAGATAAAACATGTGTCCTTTCATTTTACTCTTCATGAAACACACAGTCACACACACACAGAGTTCACACTTTGGGAGGTCATGTTTTATTTTACAAAAACCAGACCATAAACATTTATTAGTATCTTGAACTTTGTACGTGGAGCATTCTTTCTGCCTATCATTGTCTCTAACATCTGGTTGTATAATATTCTGCTGCCTTTCGTTGTGAAGCACTTGCTTCATGACTGTTTGTCTTTACTACCATATGCCCCATGGTCATCTCTGGGGCAGCAACCTAGGAGTGACATTTCTGGATTGGAAGAGTTGTGTATTTCTGATTTCACGAGTTATTTCTTGATGGCCTTCCAGGAGGGTAATGGCCAGTTTCATTTACGTCCACAGCAGATGAAGGTGATGTTTATCTGACATCTGCCAGTAGCAGGAGACAACATGGCCAGTCTCATGGGAGAAGAACACAGAACTTGAAAAAAATGGTGTGTGTGTGTGTATGTATGTATGTGTGCATGTTCATATGTCTTTTCACATCCATGAGACTGTATATACATGGGTCTATGTGTGGAATCCAGAGGAGACAACCTTGGGTGTCATCCTCAACAACGCTCATCACTGTCTACCTCCTTGGGACAGGGTCTTTCCGCGTTGTGAGTTTGTTTTTTTTTTTTTTTTTTTTTTTTAATTTTAAATTTATTTATTTATTAAGGATTTCTGCCTCGTCCCCACAACCGCTTCCCATTTCCCTCCCCCTCCCCCGATCAATTCCCCCTCCCTCATCTGCTCGAAGAGCAATCAGGGTTCCCTGACCTGTGGGAAGCCCAAGGACTGCCCACCTCTATCCAGGTCTCGTAAGGTGAGCATCCAAACTGCCTAGGCTCCCACAAATGGATGGAAATAGAAAACACTATCCTGAGTGAGGTAAGCCGCGTTGTGAGTTTGTCATTAGGCTCAAGGTCTGGCCAACAAGCCCTAGGGATGGATCCTCCTGCCTCCACCTCCCAGCTCTGGGATTACAAGCAGGTGCTACAATGCTTTTCAAGTATGTGTGTTCCAGGGTGAAATTCCATTCCTCACATTTGAGAGGCAGACACTTTACTTTGCCTGGACTATTTCTCCAGTCCAAGAGGAGGAACTGATGACTTGGTTGGGTTCCTCTATAGAAATGTGTATTGATAATCTAGTGTCTTGCAGGACTCCGGGTATAATTAAAATGAAATAAAACATGGACCATGCAAAAGAAATGTGGGGACAAAAAAAAAACTGTGGCCAGTATTTTGTTCAGAATATTCTCTGTGTAGTTGAATAGTCCACCTTCTATAACACATTCATATGAGCCATTAAAAATTCTGGACATTTCGTATAGCATTCCAATTTTCTATAAGCACATTCAATACACGGCCTGTGTCGCAGTACAGAAACATTTCAATACCATGAATGGAGGCTTTCTAGTCCTGTCAGGTGAACCCTAGGCAACTGGCCATGTTCCCCTCTGCTCCTTTGGCCTTAGCTAAGAATTCAGCCATAGCTGCTCTCCTTCATGGTGTCCCTCTTTCATTTTCATTTAAATACATGTCTACTTTACAAGCAAGTGAACATGTATGTCCCTGTGGTCATGGGTGCACATGTGCACACACATATGTGAAGGCCAGAAGACAAGTGCATGTCACTGTACTTGGCATTTCTACACAGGAGACTGAACTCTGGTCCTCTTGCTAGCATGGCAAGGCCTCTACTGACTGAACCATGTCCCCGGCTCTTATCTTTTAATATTACTAAGTTCGTTTTCTACTTAGCCACCTCAGGCATTGAGTTTGTAACTCCTTAAAAACCAGCCACGATGAGCATTGGGAGAGGGGCCAGGAGGCAGCCCCTCAGCCAATCTCCCACACGTCTGAGGTACTTACTGGACTGGAATTGGAAATGTACAAGGAGGCGTCGCACACGATGCCATAGCCCATCAGCCGTTCCCCAGGGAAGAGGGAGCTGGTGCTAACAGGTGAGATCAGGACCTCTGTGGTCTCAGGGAAGACCCACTCGACGGTCACGTCACTCAGCACTGGCGCCATGGCCTTCTTCAAGGATTTGATCATCTGTTGCGGAGCGTCGGAACGGAGTGGGTGATGTGTGTGGAGGACATGAAGAGATAAGGAGACAAAAAGATGGTGAGAATGTGATCTTGAGGGGAGGAAGGCACAGCAGGCCTGGGGCAGCTGATCCAGGGGTGGACACACCTCTGAACTCCTTAGACTCTTGGAATGGATCTTGGCCATCAGCTCTGAGTTTAACATTTTATAAAGGAGAAAACCAGAGGATCAAAGGATCGCTCTGATGAACTCAAGGGCCCAGCATAGAGCTCAGCTTTGGGCCTGTCTGGGCTGCTGAAGCTGCAGTACTGGGAGATGCTAGAGGTCCTTCTGTGTACCTTTGGTTGCAGCCGCTCCCCCTCTGCCAGGAACTCCGCACTGCCCTTGGATACAGACGCCAGTCCTTTCACCAGTCTGTAGCAGACACTGGGTCCAATCCCAAAACTATAGCACCTGGAGGACAGGGACAGGAAGATAGCTCTGGGTCACTGTCCCCAGCAGACTAAGAGACAGAGCATAGTTCAGCAGAGGCAGCTTAAAGATGACTCTGTCTTCAGGTAAAAAGCCTGGGGAGGAAGAGGAGTTATCATGGACATACACACACACACACACTACAACCAACTCCCAGTCAGCACTGACAGTAGTCTCTAGTTGCTAAGCTGTAGCAACTCATGAGAGAGAGAGAGAGAGAGAGAGAGAGAGAGAGAGAGAGAGAGAGAGAGGGAGGGAGAGGGCACACATGGAAAGCATCTCCTCTCAGCATCCTGGAAACAAGGCATTCTGGGAAGTGTAGGTGCTTTCCTCTCCTTCTGGTACAGTGAAAATTTGTTCTCATTTGGGTTCCCCCAAACTCAGGCAGCCTGGGGGTAATCAGACCCTAGACCCGCAGGGCGGGCTGACCTGGTAGAAAAGGCGTGATTCCGCACCAGCTCCAGAACCTTCCCTGTGTTGCTCACAGCCCCATCAGTAATCAGGAAGAGTAGCCTTGGGTGGCCCTGGTGTACTGGCTGCCGCAGGATCCACTTGAGAGGGGAGAGGATGTTGGTGCCGCCCATGTCAGCCCGTGTTCTTTGGATGCAGTCACATGCCTTGGCCAAGTTCGCCTGCAGGGAAGGACCATGGCAGGGCAGACAGGTCCTAGGTTCACCACGTGCCTCCTGAGGATGAACTCTCTTCTCTAGCTCTTAGTTCAGCCAATATACCCCTGTCCTCCCATTCGGAAAATTACCAGCCACTGATGAAATTCATCCCCCGTCAATGTCTTGAAATGCCACCATTTGCAGAATAATGACAATACTGTCCTCTCTGCATTCTTCTTTAGGGACATGAGCACCCCCAGAAAAAAAATGTGGACTTTTTGAGCTCTTAACTGCTCAGCACAAGTAATATCCCTGCCTGGTAAGGGAAGCAGGGGGCACGGAGGAAAGAGCACAGTACTGAGCATCCTCAAACATGAACACTGAAT